TGCGTGCTCTCCATGACGGCAAAGCATCCCTACTTGATGTGGCATAGTTGTTGTATGACTGGGTATGAATAGTTCCTTGGTCTGGAGGGATGGAATGGACCTAGGCAGGCTACTTGCATGCTCTCCATGAGGGCAAAGCATCCCTAGTTATCCAGCCACTCTTAGGCAGCAGGATGAGGCCAAGGCCCAAGAAAAGATGATCAAACACCACCGGGTGATCATTTGATTTTTTAAAGATCTTCTCCTAGAATAATTTTCCACAGAATAATAGATTGTTATTTGTCACACATTTCCTTGTATATTATTTGAAAGTAGACAAATCATACTTGACTTTGAACACTGTTTGAAAAACTATATAAATGAACATGGAACGATGAATTTTGGATGAATGATGCAGAGATGATGGAAGACTGAATAAGCAGGAGGGTGGATGGATGATGGATGGGGAATGAATGGAAGGACAGATGGAAGATGGATGACTGAACAAATGGAGGGTGGATGGAAGATGGATGACTGGACCAATGGAGGGTGGATGCAAGACAGGTGGGTGAATGAATGGAAGGATGGTGGATGATGGATGGAGGGATAAATAAACAGATGATGCATGGACAAAGGATGGAAGTCTGCATAACATGATTAATCTGTTAATTTGTCAGATAAAACAATGAGATAAAAGGCAGAATTGGGACATTAAAAGCCACAGAACAGATAGAGAGCTTGAAATATCCCCTACTGCCACTTGCTGTAGAATGTGCCATAAAAAAAGACACAAATATCTGATGTGAGTGACAACTTTTGTTGCAGAGCCTGATCTCCACAACTTTCTAATGAGATAAATTTCTACAACAGAGCTTTCAGGAAGGAGTAGATCGAGGACATATTCCTTGTGGTTCTATCCACACAACTGACTTGAGAAGAGAGCCTTGTATTCATATGGAACTCGCATGCTGTATGAGCATTGGGATTCGCGATGGTTTGCATGAAAATGTCCCCCATAGGCTCCAAGTGTTTGGACATTTTGTCCCCAGACGATGGTGCTGTTTGGGGAGGTTTTAGAAGGTGTGACTATCCTGGAGGAAGCACGTCACTGGGGGTGGGCTTAGAGAGTTCTTAAGCCTTGCAGGATCTCCAGTCGCTCTCTTGCTTCCTGTGCCTGCGTGATGATGTGAGAGCTTAGCTTCTGCTGCTCCTGCTCCAGCCACCTCCAGCCACCATGCCTCCCTGCCATAATGGACTGTAATTACCCTGGAGCCGTAAGCATGAATAAACTCTTCCTTCTATAAATTGTTTGGGTCAGTGTTTCTATCACCGTAACAGAAAAGGGACTAATACAGTAATCGGTACTGAGAGTGGGGTAATGACTAATACAGGGTTCTTAGCCCAAAGTAAAAGAAGCACATTCCCAAGATGACCAGATTTCTGTTATGAGTAGTGGCCTGGATGACCTCAGTAAGTATAGTTTTTCCAGATTCATCCATCTTCTTGAAAATTTCATGGTCTCGTGTTTTCCTGATGGCCGAGTACTACTGCACTGTGTATACATACCCCATTCTCATTAACCATTCAGCACCTGATGGATACATGAGCTGGCTCCTTTCCTTGCTCTCGTGGGCAGAGGAGCAATGAACATGGATTATAAGCATCTCTGAAATAAGATATAAACTCTTTTGGGCATAGGCACAGTAGTGGTGTGGCTGGGTCATATGGTAATTCCATATGTAGCTTTTTGAGAAACATCCTTTCCAAAGTGGTTGCACTAATTCAGACTCTGTCAACAGTGCCTAAGCTAGGCATCCCCCTTTTACCACAAACAAGCCACTTTTTTTCTGGTGGTGGTTTTCTGACTGGGGTGAAACGGAATCTTTACATAGTTTTAATTTTCATTTTCCTGATATCGAAGTATGTTGAACACACTTTTAGGTGTTTCTTGCCATTAGTAATTCTCTTTTACAGATTTTTTTTTCTCTTCAGTTAGGTTGCTCATTTTTAATTGGTTTTTTTGCTGTCTTAATGTTTAGTCTCCTTAGTTCTCTATACTATGTAGACATTAATCCTTTGTCATATTTATAGGTGACAAAGATTTTCTTCCATTCTATTGGCTGCCTCCACAGGCAACTGACAGATTCTTTTCCTGTTCAGAAGCTTTTTAGTTTCATAAGATACTATTTGCTAATTGCTGGTCTTATTTCCTGTGCTATGACTTCTTATACAGAAAGCTTGCACCTGTTCCTATAAACTGAAGTGAACTTCCCACCATTACATGTAGCAATTTTGGGGTAGCCTGTCTTATACTGACTTCTGGGCCAGGTGCAAGGTAAAGAACAAACTTCATTTTTTGGCATATTGAAATTCTTGTTTCCCAATACCATTCCTTGAAGATGCTGTTTTTTATCCAGTATAGATTTTTGGCATCTTTGTCAAAGACAATGTAGCTGTGGTTGTGTGATTGTTTGTATGTATATCTGGATCCTCAATTTTATTCCATTGATCTATGTGTATATTTTTGTGACATTACCATGTGCTTTTTATAACTAGAGCTCTGTAGTATAATTTGACATTGGGAGTAGTGATATATACCACAATACCATCAGAACTATGGAGACAGGGTGAGGCAGACCCCTGGAGCTCACTTATCAGCCAGCCTAGACAACTTGGCAAGTTACAGACCAGTGAGACACCACCAGAAAAAAATAGTCTGTGAGAATTTGTTTCTCTGGGTCAGTCACAGATATGAAAATAAGAAAATACTCTCACAATATTTAATCCTTCTCACTGGACACAGTCATGTATGCTAAGGAGAAACACAGACCATCACTGGGAACTGTGAAGACCCTCGCTGGTGGCAGGTGCCCACCACCAGATGGATTTTGTGGCTTTAAAACTAGAGCCTCAGGCATGTTAGAAAAATGTTCTACAACTCATCGCCTCTTCCTCAGTTACCCACATATACAAATATGCAAAGAAGAAAATTCAAATGCAAATCAACTACTAGACTTGTTGAGAAGTAACAGTACATTTATAGCTATGCGGTTTGATAATTTTCATACATGTCTGCATTGTAAGGGTAAAAATCAACATGATTGAGGGGTTGTGTAAGTTTTCTCAAATATTTAAAGGATGAGACAAAAATTATATACATGTAATAAAATTTCTAAGGTCATAGGTTAGTTAACTAGTTTAAGGAACAAAAATATGTCTAGTGAAGGTTTATCTGAGAAAGTTTGGTTTTTGACCAAGCTTCATCAGCAATTTCTAAGGTCATAGTTTAGTCAACTAGTTTAAGGAACGAAATATATATCTAGTCAAGGTTTATCTGAGAACTTTTGGTTTTTTATCCAAGCCCTATTTACATAGCACATGGTAATTAAAAGTACCAGACTGGTGGAACTAACCTTCTTGGATATTTAACAGCCATACTTTAAGGCTTATACTAATCTGGTCAGAGGGACTTAAAGGACAGTTTTTGCCCCTTGTCCTCCTAGGTCAACTGAGCTCCAGGAGACTATGAGCATCTCTCAAAATGCCCTGTAACTGTGGTGAGTCACCTATCCCTCTGTTCAGGGAGGCCATGGAGACCCCACCAGATGGACTTGAACCAGTGTCCAGTCTATAAAGAGGAAGGTCAACTAAGAGGATACATTTCCTCCATGCTTCCAAGTCAAGCCACAGTCAAGCAGAACCTTTGACTTCTTCACATAGATGGAACTGGTGAAAGAAAGAGGCCAGGGGCTCCTCCCAAGACCCTGTGACCCTGAGAAACAGATCCTCAGATGACCTTATGAGTAAAAATAAGTTGATTTATTTGAGCCAACTGTATGGTCTTAAATACCCTAAAGGAAAGTATAACCAAAGATTAAAGTGATCATTATAGTTCTTTAAGAGTTCAAGAGAGAAATAAAGGGAAAAAAAGAGTTCAAGAGAATACCCTTCCCAGACATTAAACTTAAGTCCATATAAAATGTTATTTAGACAATTATTTCTCATTCAGGATTTTGATTCTAAGCAGAAGGTGCTGCTCAGATGTAAGACTTCAAATCTTGGTCTGCAATACTGTAGTTCCCACCTGTAGCTAATGGAGAAAACCACTATTGTTCTAAAATTATGGCTAAATTTGTTTTCTCCCCTTATCTGGAAGCCTTTAAGAGGGAGTTGACACAGATTCTAACCACTCCAACAGCTATCAAAGTTACTGAAAACAAATCCTGAGTCCATCACTCTTGAGACCAACCTTGACAGGCAAAAGAAAAATGAGGAGGAACCCAATAGAGGGATGCTTCTGGAAGCTCTTGTTAAGAAATCCCAGTGGACTCTGATATGAGCAATATAAATTTGTCCTGTTCTGACTTTTTTCTGGTTCCCTGTCTAGAACTTGTAATGCTAACTACATTTGCCTTTACTTCTCCTTCACATCCCCTATTCACCCATTAAGTACTTTCTTTTCCCCATACAGATAAGAGTTATGCAATTTGGGGATCTTTCAGATAGACCTACTGAAGGGGTACTCCAATTGCCTCACCCTGCATAGTTGTTCAGCATGGAAGAAGCCAGATTGGTCTGCGTCCTGATTCCCTATGTGCAAGTTGGATAACCTCTTCAGAGGATGGTGTGACAAGAATAGGAGGTAGGAACTGGCTAGGCAGTTGGGGTAAAAAGACTCCAAAGAAAAATAGCCAGTTTCTTGGCTAAAAGTTACAATGTCCTTGGGCCAAGAGAGCAACATACTCTATTCCCAAGGCCAAAAATGTCAAAAGTATTTGGGAGTTTGTATCTCTAACAAAATACCCAACAAAGGCTAAGGAAGGAAGGAAGGAAGGAAGGAGGAAGGAAGGAAGGAAGGAAAGAAGGGCAAGAAATTGTCAGAAAAAGGTGATGGGGAGATAGATATGGGAGGTGTTGGAGGGGAGGGATTGGGAGTGGATTTCATCAGAACATGTATGATCAAGTCATGTATGAAATTCTCAAAGTTATTTTTTTAAAGTTAAAAACAGTCAACATGATTAGCACTTGCTTCAGCAGTGCGTATATAAAATTGGACCACTGCAAAGAAGATTTGCACAGCTCCTGGGCAAGGATGACATGCAAAGTCTTGAAGCATTCCATGTTTTTAGACAGTGTTCCCCATGTACTGCAGAGACAACATGAGCTGACTCCTTTGACTGATAGAATCCTTATCAGGTACATTCATGGCAGTGATCACATAGGCTCAGTCATGGTCACACACAGCATAAACAGAGAGAATCACTCATGAGAACATGTAGGCATTCAGGACAGATAGGGTGGGGAACACGCCATCAGACATACACACACTCACACTAATGGAGGGACATGCAGACTTAAATGTTTGCTTATGTAGAAACATGCATATATGTGCACACATACACTTTTCCCTCCTACATAGTTATGATCTACTCCCTCTCTTACATGTGGACAGAATTTTATGAGCCCATAAAATCTGAGGGAAATGGGTTAGGGAGCTATGGAGTAGATTCATACTTCTTCCCAGAATCCAATGGTTAATCAGTAAAGGATATGATGCTCTGGTGTCATTTAGTGGGAAGGTTTCCTGGAGCCAAAAGTATCAGGGTTGGGGCTTTAAACTTGGGCATTGTTGGTTTTCTATTGCTGTGACAAAACACTGACCAAAACCATCTTTGAAGGAAG